ATTCAAGATCTTTATTTCAACAAGTTATGCATTAGGAAATTTGTATGCCCAAGATATCATTTGACAAGTTCAAGGTCAAAAAGGATGTTTTCAGTTCAGAAGGTAGAAAAGACCTTTGCCATTGTGCTTCGGAATGGTTCTACCTAGGGATGAGAAATTGGGCCGAAAACCCGAACCGAACCGAACCGAACCGAATAAGACTCGAATAAGCAATTCGATTCGGTTTTCGGGTATCTGTATATGGCTTATTCGGTTTTCGGGTTATTCGGTCCGGGTTACCCGAATAAGGATTTATTCGGTCCAAAAAACCGAACCGAATATGAATCGTCTATTTTCAATTGCGTGAGCCGTGAATCGAATAAGGACTCCCTCTCAGTCGACGTCTCAAGTCTCAACAATTCTCCCATTCGATTCCGTAATCCTAATAGCGGGTAAACCCACTACTAGAAAATTGGTCTTTAATGACGCACAAACAATGACACTCGACGATAGAGGGCGCGCATTTGTGGGTGCCCTAAAAAATAGTGTTATTTTTTCAAATTTTGAAGGATAGAAGACACTCATTTGTGCGTGCCCTAAAATTAGTGTTAGAAAAGAAAAAAAAGGAAATGCGGAGGGCGCCTTTTATAAAATGTTCGTCATGTAAGTATGTCGCTTTATAAATTTTTAATGAAACACGCCTTTTAGGCGGGAAATGATCGATCGACAAAAATCCCCAAAATTTTGGAGGACCCGCTCATTCATTCCTCTCCACTTGCCAATGACCTTCATTTTCTCCCCTCCTTCTCTCTGTAAAACCTAGCAGCCGTCACCACCAGAAACATGGTTTTATGTTGGCTTCGTTCTGTGTTGTAAGAACGAGAGTCTGATCCTTCATTAATAGCTAAAGGGGGAAAATCCCCCAAAATTTTGAAGTACCCCACTCACTCCTCTTCACCTCTACCCTACTCCATCTACAACGACTCCCCACATTTACAAACCCTATAATTCAAAACGATTTTCCATTCCTCACGAGTGCTTTCCAGTCAACGACCTGATCAGCCTCATCGGCAACTCGGTCTCACCTCACCTCGTCAGCGAGCTGAGGCTCACCTCTACACACATGCGACTACAACTCTTCAAATCACCTTAAGCCCTACCCTTTCTCTATATTCAGGAGCCATTAATGGTGGCAAAGAAGATCAACAATGAAGACCAACTCGTTCGATTTCTCCCTAAAAATGGTGCTTCTCCTAAATCCAAGTTTACTCTTCACTCTCTGAGTTTGTTTTCTCCATAATTGATGCATCCACCTTCTCATCTCGCTCCCTCTACCAGGTTTTCTCTCATCTCTTTCCTCTATAGATGAGTTTGTTTTCTCCCGAAACCCTAACATTTCTCTCTATTGACGCTCCATCATCTCACGTTCATCTTCAAAAACAACTTCATCGGAAAAATGCAACCTGTAATGGTTGTGAAGAAGACCAATTGGTTCGAATATTCCCCTAAAACCTGGTACAACTTCTCCTCAATACGACTTCACTCTTCAATCTTCAAGCGATTGACTGGTTTTTCACTCTCAAACCCCAAACCCTACATTGATTTGACACACAGAGAAACATATAAGTGTTGTCAACTACTGTGCTCCATGATTACCACATGGTGCTCTAGATTTTTTAGGGCTCGTTTCCTCTGTTCATCGCCTCCCTACCACAAGAGATCTTATAGTTCTTCCCAAATATACCCCTTCATTCATCTTTTCTATCAACATTGTATGCCACCAACGTTCCTTTAAAGGTGACTTCTTTTTTTATTTTTGATAACTTGAGCCCTAATTTGTATCTTGCTTTAACTTTTCTATCAACATCGTATGGTTTGATTAGTGTAAGTTTTTTTTCTCTAATTTGGTAGATTTGCAGTTGCATATCAACTGTTTGTTTAAATGCCTACACACCACTTTAGTGAAAAAGGAAGTGGATAACAAAAACATCTGGTAGCTCATATTATTGAGTATTTATATATGTGTAGTAGGATTATGAATATTCTTCCAATCAATATAACGCTCATACTAGTGGTTTCAATTCAAGGAGGTTATGAAGATTTTCTTGTAGATCATTTGGTGATGGAATTTTGTGCTGAAGTTGAGTTCATTGATAGGATTACCACAAAAGGGCACCGTTCAGAAAGAAAAGAAACTGAAGTTGAGTGCGTGGGTGTGTTGTGATGCTTGTCATAAATGGAGACGTATATCAGCTATACTTGTGGATTCTATTGAATCCACTGAATGCAGATGGTATGATTTTATCTTTTTTCAACCTTTGATATAACAATATATATTTGGATGTGTCTAAATACTTCATATTTTATCACCCTGATATTAGGGTTTTTGCTTTGCTTCGTTTTTTCTATTTCATCCCATTCTCCCTCTTTTTAATGATTGAGACGATTTTAGTTTCTTTGTTTGGGGTATTTTTGTAATTGTGTCTTCTTTGACTTGCATTTTATTATTTCAGGGGCTTGCAATTGAATCAGTTGGTATGCAGCGCCTACTTAATCGTTGATTGTCGCTTTCTTTCTCATACAAGATGGTAAATATTCGCAAATTACCCATTTCCCTTAAATTTACAGATAATCATGTATAAATTGAAGGCTGGTTCACTAGATGAACAGTAGGCAAAAACCTTCAAGTTAAATTTTACGATATAAAACATTTGTTGTATGTTTGTATGTATTTATTTGTGTATCTACTAATCGAGATTAACTTGAATTGGAAGGATTAATGCAGTATATACTATATACCATATGTATGCTTAAAGATCTGTCTGTTTTTTTTCCATTAGATAATGGTTTTATGGTGTTTTCCTCCAGGCAAAGTTCAACACATAATTTAAGTATAACAAATTGTTACCTATCAGTTAACTTCATAAAACCTTTTTGAATTTTCACCAATACTTTCTCAGATTTTGATCTTGCTGAACCACTGTGCCTCAAAATTTTATTTTCAAAAATTTTTTAAGGGAAAAATTACTAAAATACCCCTAATTCTAGAGACGGTTGCTCTAGTTACCCCCACGTGCAACCGCCCCTGACTATAGCACGTGACAGAGTTATCGATACATTTATGTCTGCATTAACCTGTTCTATCGGTTTTTTGGATGGATCTTGTGAATTTATGAACACTCAACATTACTTGATTGCTCATTCTCTCTCATAAAAATAAATACGAAACCTGTGGTTGATGAAGGTAATGCATACCATCTTAATTGACCTTAGTTGTTTTTTACATTTTAATTCATTCATGATTCAGCTTTTCAGAATTTTTGTCATTGCCTTATCAGATTGTTAATCAACTACTTTTAAATGGTAATATCTATGCAAATTAAATTCATTCATGACTTTTTTTACTCTCTTCTATTTACTTCCCAGTTCTTTTGTTTTTGTCACAGAGCCTAAACCTTGTTGATCAAGGTTAATCTCCACGTTTACAACTTACAATTATGATGTATGTTCATGGAAAATTTTATTTATTTATTTTAGGTGAGTGGGTTGATGCTAGCAAGTTACACTGGAATTCGTCATCTGTTTTCTAAATGTTTGAGTCAGTATTCTCTCTAAGAAAGTGACAGGCCTTTCTTGACAAATACAGGGGCTTCCCTTTGTTTGATGTAAGTTATTCTAGTCTTATACTTACTGTTGATTCAATAAATACCTACATACTTCCATTTAATAGGAACTATAGTAAACAAATTTCAAGACATGGTCCCAATACAATTTAAGGTTTAAAAAACTTACAATAATTTCATGACATTTTACAATTCCATGTTATAAACCCTAATCTAAATTTCATGATCATTATTCATGGCATAGGAGGATGAACTCTCAAAAGCAATTATTTCGTATAGAGTAGAAGCAGATACTTGGAATGCATTTGTTGAGTTTCTAGAAGCTGCTTGGGATTTCCAGTATTCTTTTATGGAGGAAAAGGAAAAGAAGGTCAAGTATGTAATTTCTAATTATGTCCATATTCAAGGTATATTTTAATTTTACACCTTTTGATTATGTAGCTGCAGAAACCTAGGTATATTTTAATTTTACACATTTTGATTATTTATTGGCCTTGAAAATAAAAACATTGAAGCACTTTTTTACTGTTTTCATTTGGTGCAGGTTCTTACTATCTTTGGTGCAACAGATAGTGTTAAAGAGCAATTTTACCAAGCAATTGATAATGTTTTTAGGCAAGATGAATTCATATTTTGTATCTTATTTTGTATTTTGTATGACAGTAACTTTTGTGCAATGGATAGTATTTTTTGTGTATGGTATTTTATTTTCTATTATGAGACATGAAATGCAAACTTAAATTGAAAATTAGTAAATATATAAATAATATTTTTTAAAAAATAAAAATAAAAATTACGATACGCAAAAATGTGTGTCATCTTCATTTATGACATGGCCTTTCTTGACAGTGACTTTAATGATACGCATTGCATGTCATAAATGCGCGTCGTCTCTCGTTATGACAGGGCTTTCCTTGACGCGCATTTGCGCGTCGTCTGAGCGTTTTACGACGCGCAATGAGCGTCGTAAAAGGCTGTTTTTCTAGTAGTGACCAAACACAATTACACCAAATCGAACCGACGATCACAATTGCACCGAATCGAAGAACATTGGAAATGTGTTGCTGCCGATTTCTTTGATCAACATTCGATCGATTCTACTAGTTCTTGCTGCCAAGTGCCGACTTCTACTTCTTGTTGTCGAAGAACACCAAAATCGAAGAACACCAAAATCGTAATATCGTAATCCTTCCTTTTTTTTTTTGATCGACAACTGGTGATTTGGTTCTACTTCTTGCTGGCCGACAGCTTTGCCTTTGATCGACACATGATCCTTGCGAGTTGCTACAATAGGCTTTGATCGACATTAGGTTTTGATCGACTTCACTGCCTCAAACTTCTTGAATCGTCTTCTCATATTGTTTTGTAGTTTATACTTGATAAAACTCCATTCAGTTCATGGAAAATTGGGTTCCAAATCAAGAAACACAAGTAAGTATTTGTATCTTAATCTACTACTCATTGAAAATTGAATAAGAGAATTTAATGAAAATAACCATATATGTTCTTTTACTTGTGTCATTCCATATTGATGAATTTATTTAAATGCTATTATGCTTTAGATGTATGATGAATCTATTTTGTTATTATGCTTTAGATTGATGATGAAGATGTATTTGTTGATAACACACAAGTTGAAGGAACAAGTCAAGCAACAAACCCGAAGAAAAGGAAATATGCCCAAAGGGCGGCTTGTTGGAACGACTATGATGTACTTCATATTGACAAAGTTAGACATAGCAAATGCAAAAAATGTGGAACTTTGCTCAAAACCGAATCCGGCGCAAACGGTACGTCTAGTATGATTAAACATACGGAAAGATGTAAAATGAACCCAAAAAATTTAGAAAAAAAACTAGAAAACCAAACCACTTTAAATTTCAAAAAAAATGAAAACGGAGAGAATAGTATTGGGACTTGGAAGCATGATGAGAAAAGAATAAAAAAAGCTTTGTTAAACTTATTTGTAGTTGGAGAATTACCATTCAAGTTTGTAGAGAACGAATCATTTATTGAGTATACAAATGCATTGAACGGGAAAGTAATTTTGCCATGTAGAACCACAATTTCAAATAGAGTTACCGATTACTTTCTTAAAGAAAAGGCTAAGTTATTTAAGTTCTTCAATAATCCCCTAAGTAATGTGCATTTGACGACCGATTGTTGGACAAGCTCATGTCAAAGGTCGAGCTATATAGTGGTCACGACCCACTTTATTGATGAAGATTGGGTCATGCATAAAAGAATTATCAACTTTAAATCTCTCAATAGTCATAAGGGAGAAGACATTGGGCGCACGTTGTTGACTTGTCTTCAAGAGTGGGGTATCAATAACATAATGACCATAACCGTTGACAATGCTAGTGCAAATGACAAAGCAATCGAAATTCTAATGGAAAAGCTACCAAACTTGTACGATGGGGGGAAACAATTACACGTAAGGTGTATGGCACACATCCTTAACCTTATTGTTAGGGATGGGTTTGATCAACATCAATCTAGTATCAAGTGCATGCAAAAGGCCGTTAAATATATTAGGAATTCTACACAACGGATTCAAAGGTTCAAAGAATGCATGAAAGAGCTAAATGTGGAATCCAAAAAGTTTTTGTGCAATGATAGCCCAACTCGATGGAACTCCACATACGAGTTATTGAAGATTGCGGTGGAGTTGGAGAAGGTTTTTGGCATGTTTGAAGTCAAAGGTAATTTCATATTCCAATCCATTGTTTTTTTTTTTTTTTAATTTTATATTTCAGTATTTTTACAAATTTTTAGCCAACTTTGAAGAGTCATAACATGTTCGTTATTTGTCCGATTAGCCCGATTTTTTTCCAGCTTGTAGTTTACAATTTGTACTACAGTTTACACTATTTATACGCGTTATTTGGTTGTATATTTAGTGAGTTATAGGCCTCTAAACATTGGATATTAATTCTGAGTTTTTCTGTTTCTGCATTTTTCCAAAATTTTAGCCAACTTTGAAGAGTCATAACGTCTTCATTATTTGTCCGATTAACCCGATTTTTTTTTCCAGCTTGTAGTTTACAATTTGTACTACAGTTTACGCTATTTATACACGTTATTTTGTTGTATATTCAGTGAGTTATAGGCCTCTAAACATTGGATATTAATTCTGAGTTTTTCTGTTTCAACATTTTTCCAAAATTTTAGCCAACTTTGAAGAGTCATAACGTCTTCATTATTTGTCCGATTAGCCCGATTTTTTTTTCCAGCTTGTAGTTTACAATTTTTACTACAGTTTACACTATTTATACGCGTTATTTGGTTGTATATTCAGTGAGTTATAGGCTCCTAAACAAAAGGTATTAAAGCTCTTTTTTTTTTTTACAAAAATAAATACTAACATTTACTTTATTATAATAGATCCTACATTTGTTCGAGACGTTTTGACCCCATCAAAAGAAGATTTCAACATTTGTAGAGCTATGGTTGGATTTCTTGAGAAATTCAAGGTGAAAACCGACATAGTATCGACGTCAACAAAACTGATGGCACATCGGTTTTTTGGAGAAATATGTGATGTGTACAAACACATTAAGGAATGGGCGGCTAGTCCCCAATTTTGTTTGATCGGGAAGGACATGATTGATAAATACGATAAGTATTGAGGCGATCTTGAAAAATTAAATGACGTTTTGTATTTTGCGGTCATATTAGATCCACGGTTCAAGTTTGATTTTCTTCAACAAGCTTTTGAGAAGTTGATTAAGTTGAAGAATCCACAAAAAGATCCTATGCTCAACTCGGAAGTCATTTTGAAGGCTAAGGTCTTAATACGGGGTCTTCAACAAAGATTTGAGAATTTTTTTTATTTCTACAAATCAAAGTTTGACAATACCAACTCTTCTCAAAATCAAACACATGGTCATGAAGATGTAGTTGTGATTGATGATGAGAATGACTTCATGGGTGATTTAATAGTTCAAACTGATTACCCATCGGCATCAATGGAAACAGAGTTGACACGATACCTAAACGAGCAATCAGTTAAATACAATAAAGATTTTGATATTCTACTTTGGTGGAAACAAATTGCATCTCGTTACCCTATTGTATCCCGTATGATGAAAGGTATAACTTTATTTTTTGTATACTTTTTTATATAATTATATTTTAACATTTTCTATGTTTATGCTGATAGATATTTTGGGACTGCAAATCTCTACTGTGGCGTCAGAGACGGCGTTTAGTACAAGCGGACAGATATTGGATCCATATAGAACAAATTTGTCTGCAAATATAGTAGAGGCTTTGGTTTGCACTCAAGATTAGGTAAGAAAATCATGAAAGTAAATTGTGGACAACATTGATGAAATTTTGAAAGACGATGAGGTCGCGAAAGCTTTAGAAGATGCGATAAAGAACGGAGATGGAAAGGGAAAACAACCAATTAATATTCTTGAATAGTTAATTCGTGTTTGAAAAATGTTATTTTGGATATCGGATAAAAACTTAAGATTCATATTTTTATTTGGGTGTTGAATGTTTAATGTTTAATGTATATACTTATGGATAGATTTTTGGATGTTTAATTTTTAATGTTTAATTTGTTTCTTTAAAAGGTTTGTTATGAAATCATAAACTACAAAAGTCATAAAAAATACAATATTTATTCAGGTTATTCGACTCCTTAACAAAAACACAAAGTAATACAAAATATTTGGGTTATTCGGACTATTAGGGTTATGCGGGTTATTCAACTACAAAATATTCGGGTTATTCGGGTTATATATTTATGAAATCATAAGATTCAAAAGTAATACAAAATATTCGGGTACAAAATATTCAGGTTATTCGGGTTATTCGAATCCTTAATCATCTTGCACAGGTTATTTGGACCGGAACCGAATCGAACCGAATAATACCCGAACCAAACCAAACCCGTATTGCTTATTTGGTTCGGTTTTCGGTTCATACAATTACCCTTATTCGATTTTCGGTTTATTCGGTTCGATTCGATTTAATTCCGACCCGAATAACATCCCTAGTTCTATCTAGGAGGATATCAGGCAAGTTATGAGACTTCACTTTAGAATCATAATCAATAGCTGTAACATCATATTTGAATGATTAAGAAAAGAAATATTTACCTTTTAAACAATTTACAACTCAATAATCATCATATTAAGCTTATGGTCCATAAAATTATTCAATACCATCATATTAAGCTTAGGTGTCCATAAAATTATAAAAAATCATGTGACAAATGTTGTGCACGTCTTATGGTATTAAGCTTAGGTGTCCATTAAATTATAAAATAATCATGTGACAAATGTTGTGCACGTGTTATGGTTGATGTATCATATGAATAAGATATGACCGATAGTTGTGCTCTAAGTTATATATATATATATATATATATATATATATATATATATATATTTCTAAAAGAATATGAATATTGTACTACTTTTCCCTAGTGAAGAAAATTTTATATAAGCAACAAATCCAGGAAAAAAAGGTTTAATAATAGAGAATGAAGTTTCCATAATTTTTTTATGGCCGGATTCGCTCAATTTAGATTTTTTTAAAATAATATGGTTTAATTTCAATTTTAAATTGTCACAAAACAAAAAAATGATCAGAACGCAAAAAATTCAGATTACTTCTATACATAAACCTGCAACTACACGAAATTAAAAAGGAAAAAACGCCAATTAAAATAACTTTGCCAATTAAAATAAAACTCAAATTTGAAAGAAACCCAACACTAAAATAACTGAGAGTTCATCAGATAGGAGCGAAAGACTAAAAAGATGTATAATCACAGAAGAACATCATTTGAACTATGCAAATGATCATCATTTGAAGCTCTCAATTAAATACTTAGATTTAAATCGAAAATTAAAACCAATGATCTAGATACTTGGCCTCATAGAGAAGATTAGATTTGACAACATAGTAAGATTCAGATATATGCTTGTCTATTATTAGAATTTAATCATCGGCCAAAAATATGTAATGAAAAATAGACTAAATCATCAAATAGGATATCAATCAACAACTAGAGGAAAACACCTCTACAGCTATAACGAAAGTCGAAAGGTACCTTTTCACAAACGATTAAAATGTAAAACGAACGATGGCTGATTTACTTGATAGCCCAAAACAAATATAAAAATAGTTGCGACTGAATCTGATAGATTTGTTCGTTGTTATTTATAGAGGCGCAATGAGGAGCTAGGGTTTTATCCGGTGAGTATTGGTGATGGTTTGGGCCATCGATTTGTAATTTGAGGGTTTTTGGGTTTGTATAATTGTTTGTTTATTTAATTTTATTTGTTTTGTTTTTTATTAAAATAAGTTCCATATTTTCAAATAATTAGGGGTGATATCCTTCAAGGTTGCTGTCAAATATTTTTATGTAAAAACTCTAAAATAAAAAAGTTCAAAATTGTAAACAAAGTTTAAAAAAAAAAAAAAAAAAAAAAAAAAACATACAAAAAACAAAGTTATTGAATTCCTTAAAAAACAAAGTTAGCGTGGGGAACCAAGATTTGAACGATATATCGATTATGAGGAGTGGTGAGGCAGTGTCTTCATCATGGGTGTGTGGGGTATCTAGCTTAATTGGTTGATTTGCGAGTTGAGGGAAAACAATTAGTGTCCAATGTTCCGATTGTGAGGGAGTTTCCTGATGTTTTTCTGGATTATTTGTTTGTTGTGCTTCCCAAGATGCAGGTGGAGTTCTGGATCGACGTGATCCCTGGTGTTGCCTTGATTGCGAATGCATCGTATCGCCTTACACCATCCAAGATGCATGAGTTACACTCAGGTTCAGGAGCTGTTATGGAAAGAGTTTATTCAACCGAGTAGCTCGTCGTGCTAAGCATCGATCCTTTTCGTCAAAGAGAATGATGGTTCACACCGGATGTGCATTGATTACAGGGAGTTAAGACGATGAAGAACTGTTACCCTTTGTCAAGAATTGACGACCTTCTTGATCAGTTGCAGGGAGTATCTTGGTTTTCTAATATCGATTTGAGGTCCGGTTGTCATCAGATGAGGGTTCATGAGGTGGACATCCCGAAGATGGTCTTCCGAACTATTTATGGACAATCTGAGTTCGTGGGAATACCTTTCGGGCTTACCAATGCACTGACAACATTCATGGATCTCATTAATCGGGTGTATAGGTCTATGTTGGACCGATCAATGATTGTTTTTATCAATGATATATTGGTCTATTCCAAGACCAATGAGCAACATGATGAGCATGTACATGAGTTTCTTGGAGGAATGTTTATTAAATGAGCTCGAGTCAAGCTTCAATCAATGAACTTGCTTAATATACATTATTATTATTTTTACATTTTAAAATAATTTTTTTTTGAGGAATTAGGGATGTAGGGTATTAGTAAACAAGCTTGAACCGAGCTCGAGCTAATTTAGGCTCGTTATACAAAAAACGAGTCGATCTCGAGCCCGATCCGAGCATGTACCATTCTTCACAATCTCGAGTCGATCTCGGTGCAATAAAGTTTGAACTTGATCCCCTCACAACTTCAACAATCCCAAGTCGAGCCTGGTCAAGCTTGGGCTTGGCTAGGCTCGTTTACACCCCTACATATGCATGATCTCAATTTGGGGGTTGTAGTTTTCGCCCTCAAGATTCGGTGTCATTATATGTATGGGGTTTGGTGTACCATCTACACGGGCCACAAGACTTTTAAATATCTTATGGATCAGCCCGACCTCAATACGAGACAGCGGAGATGGCTTGATGTGGTAAAAGACTATGATTGTGAGATCTGGTAGCACCCCAGTAAGGCCAACGTGGTGACCGATGCTCTAAACCATAGAACGATTACTGCCCCAATTCGGGATGTTTGTTTAAGGATGACAGTGGTGACTCCAGTCTTGGAAATGTTCAGGAATACACAAGTGGAAGCCATTAAGGAAGAAAATCAGAAGAATGAATGAGTGGTTGGTCATGTTTCAGCTTTTGAAATCGACAATGTAACATCCAAAAAATCAATGCAAAATGTTTATTTTTAAAACCATTCCAAAATCCATAAGTTTTACAAAACAAGTTCCCAAAAATCACTATCACGAATCATAGTATCCCAAAATCATAAAACACATAAGGTCTAGGGTGATGTTCATGATCAAGCATTCACCTTTCCCATATCCTATGAAGTACCTGAAACCATAAAAATCAAATTGTAAGCCAAGACCTAGTGAGTCCCCCCAAATACCCTACACATAGAACATACACAACCATGCATGTTAGGTCTACAGTCATCGGACTGGATTATCCCTAGACCACAGTCATCAGACTGGATTGCCTCAGCCCAATCATTCATCAGACTGGAATGCCTCAGTTTGTTGGTTTACGCACATAGAAGTAAAGCCTCAACCCAAACCGCATTATGTCGACATATGCAATAGATAAATCATACGACATAAACAAATAATCGTGTAAATCTATCAAATCACTATAGCATAGCGACATCCTATATACTAGGATACATAACCTATTGGGATGGGCCTTGGTGCATTCGACCCATGAGTACATGGAGGAAAACTCACATTTACATTGTTGAACAGATCATTGCTCCAATGCTATCTCTATCAGTCACCCACACAATAATTAGGGACCTAATCTCAAACTACTATTCAAATTACCCAAAATTACCTTAAGTCAAACTTGGTCACATCCATGGTTAAAGGTCAAAGTCAAAAGTCATAGAGTTAACACAGGTTGATTACGCCCTACATACTTAATCATTATGCATGTTGTAGTGAAGTCCTTTCCTGGTTACAGGTCCTTCACTTAGTACGCACTGCATACATAACCAACTCTCACTATCCTCAATAAGTGGTTATTCCATAAAAACCTCACGTCCATAAGTCATATCTAGTCCCAAATAACCTCCCAAATCATAAAGTTTCCAACTTTATGACTTTGTATGACTAGAAGTGCTCAAAATCCAAACCATAACTTTCTACCCAAAACTCAAGCTTCATAACTCGGAGAAAGGGACCAATATAACATTTTTATAACCACAAACATTAAAAAACATCCACACCGACAACTCATTTCGTCTAGAGTAATCCAAGCTCACAAATACCAATATCATAGGACCATAATGCACAAAATGTAACGACCCGTTTCCGGTATGTTAATTAACTTGATTTTAGGCTAAGTTTTTAAGAGGGACTCGGCGAGTTCTAGCCTGACTCACCGAGTCGAGTCGCGCATCATGGGCACGCGGGAGCCGGCGACTCGGCGAGTCCATATCATGGACTCGGCGAGTCCGTCCGTTTGGGAGAAACCCTAAATCCCCGGGTTTGCTCACTATTTAAACCCCATTATAGCCTCCATCTCGCCACTTTCCCCCCCCTGAGAGCACTGTGAGAAACCCTAAACCTTCCATTTGTGAGCTTATATGTGATTTTGTTCCATTTTGTGAAGAGGTGAAGAAGGAGAAGAAGAAGGAAGCAAGGAAACGTGTTCTAGTGCCAAGATCCGAGGTCA